ACTATTGATTCGTGCGGAGGCTTTCACTCTACCAGGAGGTGTTGCCTGTACCTATCGACGCCATATTTCATGAATATTTGAGGGAACTTGGTTGAAGCGAGCAGGAATAATCCAGTGCGCTAAAATGCAGCCCTCATAGACAATCATTCCTTTATCAAAGTTAGATACATGCTAGTAGGTATTTATTTTCTTACACGAGGCATTACAACAAATTTTTAAGCCAAAAATAACATTCAATACACCATAATAATTTTTTTAATTCTCAGTATTTTTATTTGAACACACGGTTTTCATATATGCGAAAAAAAATATTGTGTTTTTATGTGCCTCAAAATTTTTACATATGCCGTAACACTGTAGTTTGATTCCACACCACTTCAAAACTAGATTAAAATAATCATTTAATCCTATTATTTAAATAAAATTTAACTTATCAGAAAAATCAAATATAACTTAGATTTTTGGTAATGATAAAACTTTAAAAAAAACTAATGAGAATCATTTCCGTCAAGTAACTATTTAAAAATTACCCTTTTATCAAATAAAAATTTTTAAAACAGTTATTTCTCGGAAACATTATTTAAGAGATTTCTTAAGATGTGAAAATGCTTAGAGTAAAATTTTATGTTCTTTTTTATTTTAGAAGCGTAATTTCTTTTCTTTTTTATATATATTCGAATTAATCAATTTTATAACACCTATTTTTATTCAAGACCAATTTTTGACCTTAGAATTCAAAATCTGCACAATCTGCACTAAGCGAAGAACAAAAAAAACTGAAATAAAATTAAAAATGAATGAGCTACGAGAAAAAAGAAATAAAAATCTTTGAAAAACGTCTTTGTAATTATCGTATTTTAACATACTAAGTGCTCATCTTAATGGTTTGAAAAGTTGACTTCGAATAGGCAAATTAGTCAGTGTTAACTCTTGAATAAATTATAAATTCAGGCACAAAAGCTTACTCCTATTAAACATACATTTTTCCCACTAATTTTGATTGTTAACCATCAAACTATGTTAAATAGTTGCAATCTAGAATATACGATTTAATTAGTTAAATCGTAATGCTAATTTAATTCGTGCTAATTAAATCGTAATGATAGTCCGTAATGCTAATTTTATTTTTTTTTCGTATTTTCCATATAGTTTATGAGACTTAGTTTTATATATGCCTGCAATTATAAACCTAATTGATCAAAAATAATTCCAAATAAAAATATTTTTTTAATTATTAATTATTAGATCTAAACAACGTGAATGAAGTAACATTTGGTTCAATAACAGGAACCTTTTTTAGAGTCTAAACTCAGTGTCATTCTGTTCTATAATACACTTAATGGTTATGAATATTGTTTAAATCACTGCCATCCCATAACAGTTATTATTTAGACACTAAAAATTAATGTGTATAATTAATCAGCATTTCTATTTTTAAAGCTTGATTTGAAATTTTTAACTGTCTACATTCTATTATTTATTTTTTTTAGCTTAATTACTTCCAATATTTATGAATATTTATTAAATTATCATGAATACTCATTACATTATCATGAATACTTATTACATTATCATGAATACTTATTGCATCTAACTTGCTTCAATCAACATTAAAAGTTTGTAATTAAGAATTAAAACAAAAGGTTTCGAAAACTCTGTATTGTATGAAATCGTTATTCAAAAACTATACTATGCTCTTTTCCTTAAAGTACTATTTTGAATTAACTGACTAACTCTAAAAAACAATTGTGTAAATTTAGGCAACATAATTTGTTGAAAAATATTGTATTAGTAATAAAAATTGTGTTAATATATTTATAAAGAAGATTATCAGTATTATTTCTTCTTACGTGACAGTTTTGCACATATGTGAGTAAAATAAAGTTTGTTTTTCCTTATTTAACAAAAATTTTCTTTAAACACTTTAAAACATCTAAAAAATGGACTATCTACTTATTTCAGGTATTATAGTTCAATCAGAAAGTTTGGCACAGAATAAAATTTTAATTCACTACTGTCTAGGTATGTGAAAAGTTACATATTATTTATCTACTGTAAAGAAATTTAACATAAAATAATTATTTAATGCTACTAATATAGTACTACAGCGCTAATTTAAAAGCAAATTATAAAAGCTTTGAAATATGCTAAAAGTAATTGAATTAGAGTTTTTAAGAGGAGAATTATTTTTCAAAATTGTTTGCAGAAAGAGAAAAATAAAACAATTGAGCTAAGAAAAAAAAGTCGTCTGCAATGATTTATTAAAAAAACAGCTTAGCTGAAATACTGTCAAGCATTATAAATGTAGTTTTTGTTAATTTTGCTTTCATTCTTGTATGCTAATGACAAAATTCATTTCGATCACTATTCATCTTATGAAGGAATGTTATGAGAAAAAAATATGTTATGAAAGTTATAAACAGGAATGTAAATATGATAAAGTTAAAAAGTAACTAAAAATAAAAAACTGCCAGGAACATTTTTAAATTGGACCTATTTTACAGCTGAATTTCTCAGCTCATGGCTTAAATTATTATCTAAATTATTTTCTATTATTTTCAAATTAGTAATTTACCTAAAAGATCTGAAAATTAAATAAGTGTTACGTCAAAGGTATTAGATTAAAATGAAATATTCAGCAAAATTAAAAGAATGAAAACAAATAGTTCAAATGGGCTTAGTGCAATTTAATAAACCACATTTCTTTAAATGGTAATAATCTAACATCTCTTTATTCCATAATATTATTTTCAGGTAGATATTTTACAAATTTTCAGAAAAACTGCGCAATGCTCAGAAATATCTTACCGTCCACATGGAAGTCATTTCTTTTTTAATCAAAATCGGTATTTTGGACATTTTGAAAATGTGGCTTATCATTAAACTGTTTTAAGTCTCTTAATCATTTATTTAAACTAAGGAGGAAATGTTAAAATACGCTATTTAAAAGAATGGATAGTTTGAAATCAAGTGGATGTTACGTTACAAAAATGAAAATAATAAACCTAAAATGTGTTTTTCAATTTAAATTAAGATAATTATTATAGTATAATAATTAAAAATATTAAATATAATAATTGAGATAATAATTAGCCATATTCAAATAATTAAAGTGAAACATAAGATTTATTACAAAAGAAGCAACGTTTTCTTTTTTTAAATCTTGTAATTGTATTTCTTTTCTAAAAGTGTCCCCGTGCCTAAAAGTCAAGCATATTGCGCCATTAATTTTATTCAGTTTAAAAATTCAAAAGAAAGTTTTCTTCTGTCAGAGGAAAAATTTAATTGCTTTTTCTTTAGTTAGAAAATGATAGATTTTTATAAAGATCAAAATACTGTTTTTAACAAGGTAGAAACTTTTGATCCTGATTTAAATGAAGCATTGTATAGCTATTCATTTTTCAATTCCTTTTATGTTTAGTCCAGTTTTTTAATATTCTTTTTGTTTTTTGCTTGTTTTACGGCTGTTTTTGACATTTCTCGATGATCTACCCTCAATGACTACGTGTATTAATTTGCTAACACTGTAACTTTTAACGAAACAAAATTTTCTAATGACTTTAGTTTTACTTCTTAGTTAAATTATTTCATAAATTAAAGGAGTTTTGACTGATGAAACTAAAAAAGAAAGGAATTTTACAAACTATTCAAGACGTATCTCACTTATAGGTGATTCTTTTAAATTAAAAATATCAATTATATATTTTTATTTTAGTTATTTAAGCAAAAAATTTCAAACATAAATTGCACTTTTGTTCTCAACCATTATTGATTTCTAATTTGAATAAAAAATTATTTATTCATTGAGATTATTTATAACCCAAAAGAGATTTCCAATAAAAATTCTAGTTTAGAAGTCATTCAGCTAGATAGAGCCATATTTTAAGACTCTTCATTAGAGTGTTTTTAATAGAGTTTTTAAGGAAAAAATCCAAGATTCCTAAGTAAAGAAAGCTATTTCTGTATATTGCGTTGTTATCTAGAAGAAATTTGGGAAACTTGTAAAGTGCCAATATGAAAACAATATTAAGGAACAACTTATTTTCCAAAATGTCTCAATTTAAGAAGAAATGTTTTTCACTTATTTGCCTTTACCTCGTATCACTTACAATTCAATTTTTCGTTTGTCATATATGTTGAGATTTTATTTATTTTATTCAGAGGCACATTACATTTTTTAAAGCGGTAAATAGGGCATGTTATCTATTAATACACGTTATCTATAATTAAAGGGGGCGTGTATTCTATTATCTAATCTTTCACTGAAAATAAAGATTTGTTTGGGGTGGGTAGTAAAATTAATTGTGGTTTTTATTCAGAAATCAGACAGTTGGGGGGGGGACAATTAAAAGAGGGTTCTCTCTAAAAGAATGATTTAGATATTTATTCGGTATATTTTAAATTGATAAACAAAAATGTAATTTGCTTAAAAAATAAGTTAAATATTGTTTTTTAATTTTTAATTGAATTACTGGACTATAACATTTGAAGATGAAGGGGTAAGAACTGTTTACATCCATTTTTCACAAAAATGACCATTAGATTGCCATCTGTTGTATTGTGACTGTTACAAAGTGTTCACAAATGAATAACGAGGAGAATCGGTTCTCTCCGAGAGTTATTAAAAACTTGAAGTTCTTTTTTCTTCTCAGCTTCATTTACTAATTTACAGATTTTACTTATAAACTTTATTTTTTGAAGAAAAGAAATTAATTGAAAAGTTAAAAAGACAAAAAAATTAAAATATTTGATTTCGACTTGTAAACATATTTTGCAGATTGAAAACATTATTAAAACAACAACAGAAAAGGTCGATAACTTAATTTAAATTAAATACTAAACTGGACAGAATTATTTCCTTTTGGGGTATATTTTAAAATAAACATTTACGCCATTTCCGAAATGGCATATAAATAGGCATCGTGTGTTGCAAATTATGTCATTTCTATATACCACAAAGCAATAAAGGTGCTCCAACTAAATTCTTCTAGAACATATCCCCATAAGATAAAATAAATGCGCCTAATACGTCATCGTCAACTTCCGTTTTTCAGTAGTTCCGTTTCCTTTTATATATACTAACCCAAGCATGAAAAATAAAATTCCTCTCAACTGAAATCAAATTTTAATCATGGATGTAGAAATAGCATTAAAAACTGGATATTTGTTTACGCCACCACAAACATTTTTAAGGGTAAGTCCTTATTTTCACTTTCTCATTATGTAGTCAAATTAATTTGAAATTCTAAAGATCAATACTCTCTCGTAGAATTATTATCTGTTCTAATAAATTATCAGCGACTTTGGTTAATCAATAGTCGGCTAATTATGATCATAGAAATATGTACCGCACGTTTTAGGGATGGGCTTAAATACGGCATTTGCATGTTTTCGCTGTGAATATTGGAGTTGCTTCAAGTGTTTTTAATGTAGTAGAAGATAAACAGAGTTAGCGTAATAATTTTGGGCTATATTTTAATTAAATTATATAACATATTTTATATCTTATGATCCTTGTTGAACAGCACTCTTTCTGCGTTTACAGCTATATTAATATAAGTGTTGATTGCTGATTGCAAACTAAAAGTTTTCACATTATGTGAATAGCGATAAACTGGAAAAATTAATTAAAAAATATTATTAAGAAATGTATATAATTTTAATTTATTAATTAATATGATTAATAATTATTAATTATATTATATGATTATAATTCATAATCATGATTCCAGTGTTATAGTTCTCTTTGATCTAAATTATGCAACACAAAAAAAAAATTCAAGTTTGAAGAAAAAAAACTCAAAATCTAATGTCTTTATCATTTTTATCTTGATATTAGAATGTTTTTTATACATATTTCAATATTGAGAAAAAAAATAATTTTATTTTATAACAGTCGTTGAACAGCCGACCCAATTTTGTGTTTACAACTACTAATGTTCAACTCTTTAGCCTCATAATTTTGAACCCAATCTAAAAGACAAGGGAACTCACTCCTGTATCAAGTATTGGTGGAAATTTACCTTCGTGGAGATTTTTTTTTCTGGATATAAACCGCATTTGCGTTGCATGATTAGGAAAACCACTAAAGCTTCCCACTGTTAGCCTGATGGCAAGGAGAGTCTAACCCATGATCTACCACTGAAGGTATCTTTCATCAGCACTGCTGACCGGGTGCGGAATTCGTACTGACCAGCGATCACTGGCATTCGAATCCTGTTTACCTCATTGGGAAGTGATGCTCCATCCCCTGAGTCACCACGACGCGATATATTATATTGTAATTACAAAAAGCAATAAACTACCTTCGAATCAGTTTAAATGAACTTTATAAAACATTGAGAGATTTCATCGTTTCCCTTAAAGCAGACGAAAGAAAAATAAAAAACATTTCGAACCAATTTAAATTCTCAGTAAAATTCTCAGTAAAGACGAATTCTGAGTTTAACCCTTTCAGAACAGGTGGAGAAGGAAACGTCTATTCAGCGAGTTTATTCGCATGATCATGAGCCGCTAGAGTCAGATAGGCTCGTTTTCTATAAGATACTTTGGGACATGAGGGGAGAATGGAGGGATAACGGTCTTGAAAGAGTCAAACATAAGAAAAAATTATCTTGTGCTGCTAGAGTCAGAAAAACTCGCTTCATATATTTTACCATGGGCCGTGAAGGGAGAAGTTTGCGATCGCGTAGTATATGTGATCACAATAAAAATATCTATCTCAAATCATAATTTAATCACTTGAAAAAAATATATGATGGAAATGTTTCTCGTATTAATAAAAAAAGAGGCATTGAAAAAAATATTTAAACATGATTTCTAAAAAACTGTTTAATGCATTAATAGAACTTTTTTACAAAACTTTACATTAAGTCCTTTAACAACTTACACACGAATATTAAATTATAATTTTATTGTTTAAAGTACTTAAAAAAACTTTTTGTACGCACTTTATTTATTCATTTTTTCAGTGTCACGCATTGAAAAGAAATTTTGAGATGAAACTGAATGTATTACAATTTATAGTAATTATATTTAGCATAATTTAAGGTATCCATTATTGAACACGTCGCATGTTTTTCATAAATGAAAAATTCGTGTACATTTGTAAATTATAACACCAAACAATATTTTGTTTGGATGTTTAAAAAAAATAGAAATGTTAAGTTTAAATCGGATGGCTTCTTTGATAATACCCTGAATAAATAGCACTGATGAGTAATATTAAGTATAGTAACAAATTATCATTTGCTTATATGTCCTTAAAATGTAACGTACGAAGCACCATTTATCCTATAAATTTATAGTTTAAGACAATCATAAATAGTTTAATGTAGTAAAGTAGTTAATTTATAGTTTAATATCGTAAAATTCAATAATAAAAGCTATAATAATGGTAATTTCATTTAAACAGGGAAACAAAAAATATATTCCACAAAATGTGAATACTTAGTGCATATGACATTAATATCACTAAAAATCAGAATTAGCTATTGTTGTTAGCATCATTGCTCCCGACTTTTGAAAAATGCCCAATTTGATCCCCTACACAACACTAACTCTTTTCCTAACATAGTAAAAGAAATCACAGATCGTATGAGTATACAAGGTGTTCCTTAATAACTAATCCTCGTATATATTTTTAGAATAATTCACAAAAACGAAGTAAAAAGAAGTATACTCGTTGTTGGTCGTAAATTAATATTTAAGCTAAGGAAAAACAAAGCACGCAATGTAAATTTAGTGAAATGATACCAAAGAAGAATATATGAACTTGTGATTGCCAGATGAAACTTGGAGTTGTTTCTTATAATCGCTTTTCTACTCCTTTGCTTCCTCCATTTGACTTCCTCCGTAGTAAACTCCGTTTAAACTTCATAAGGGTGGTTATTACGAACCACCTTGCGTGAATATTAACAAGTGTCAAGTCCGGACTTTCACAAGGATGCTTAAAACTACAAAGAAAAACTACCTTCTCTTTTATAAAACTAAAGCAGTTGATATATTCTTACAACTAATTTAAAATATAATGATATTTTTCAAACAACTCATCTTTAATATTATAACTTAATCATTATTGATCTTTGTTAAACTTCTTTCGACAAAACCTTTACCACAAGAAATTATTCTTTGACTATGTAAGGATCATTTATCCTCTTATCGGTAATGGCTCATTTAACACAGTGTTGTTGATTAAGGATAAAAAGGATTTTGTGGCTTTAGGTTGAATTCTTTTTTTGTCAGACAAAATAAGGGAAATTTTAAGTACGATGATAGAAGGGGCTTTAAAGAACATTTTCGGAACATCAGTCCCTTTTCAGTCAATAAATACCCACGGGAAAAAGTTTTCCAAAATATTGTATTGATTTTCAATGTCTTAGAGTTATTAAAAAAATATATTTTCTCAAGTAAAGATTGGCTAAAAGCCTTAAACATCTTTCTTTTCTGTTGAAGTAACTATATTTTCAAATCCTTCAGGTGACATATTTTCGTAATACATTGTTTTTTAAAAAGTTGTCAGCGTACTAAAGGGTAATCTTAATGGTTTACGAGGCTGAACTTAAATGTGCTTTTTAATTTGTGCGAACAATATTTTAAGTAACAAAATCAGGCACAAAAACGTACTTTCTCTTAATAAATATACTTTTATGTGGGTACTCGCAATCTAAACAATGGTACCGATAGTTCAGTCAGAAGAGCTGTTGAAAGTTAATTTCACTTTGCGTATTTCAACTTATTTCTTGTACTTTTTAAGAAAATAATAAAAAATTAATTACTATCTTGAATGTTAGGTAAAATGAGCAAAAATTACAATTACTTAAAGGCATTAACTGTCTTAAACTGAGTATTAGGTAGGCTTTTCAACACCAATTATAAAATGAAATAAAATTAACTTAGCGGAAGCCTCGGTTGCTCAAGGGATAGAGCACTCACTTCCAAAAGAAGTGACTCAGATTCGAATCCCAACGGTTAATAGTCAATATGAATTCCGCTCCCGGTTCGCACTGACCACAGTACTGACGTAAAATATCCTCTGTGGATAAACGGATCATGCGTTAAAGTTTCCTTGCCGTCGAGCTACCCGAAGGAGGTTTTTGCGATTTTCCTCCCCATGCAACGCGAATGTGACTTAGATCCATGAAGTAGTCTTCCGCGAAGACTGGTTAATCCCAAATCTTCATCCAGGAAATTCCTTGTCTTCTGGATTTGATTCAAAATTACAAGTTTACAGAGATCCAAATAATAATATCCAAAATTAGATCGGTTGTTCAACGTAGGTCATATAATAAAATAAAATTGACACAAGGAGCCCAAAAGTTTGGTGACTCTTCTGTTTAAAATATCTGAACCATATTGTCCAGATTGCGACTACATTCCATATTTTGCAGTTCAAGAATCCATATTTGAGAAAAAAAGGTATGTTTTTTTAGAGAATTTATTTATTTATTTATCTTTGCGTGTGTGTATCTGATTTCTATATTTTAATTATCGCCTGCGTAAATTACTTAACTTATTTAAAGTTAACATTCTGAACCTTAAGATTTCACATAAATAGTTACATAAAAATCCGAAGTCTTTGTGTTTCATTCTTGATTTTGAGCTCTGTACCTTAAAGATTTGTTGTTTGAACAGCCTATTGATTCTTAGGGAAATATTGCAAACTTATTTATTTTAATAAACGTAGGGGAGAGTCGGGTAGCCCCGTTCACTTAAGGAGTATTGCTTATATTTCTGTATAACAATGAGTATTAATCAATATTTTTGTATGTTTCTATTGTTGTATCATCTAATTAAATAATGCAAAAAGAATAAACCAAAAAAAGAATAGTTTAACTTTAAAAAATCGAAATTTAAAAAAACATGTTTTTCAGCTCTTATCAAAATGTGTCGGGTAGCCCCGCCCAGTTACAAAAATTATGTTTTTTGACTGTTTTTTCAGGTGTAAGTGAGAATGACTAATGTATTGACAATAGATAAACCTCATTTATCATTTTTATCACAAAATTATTTTATTTATTACATATTTATATGCTTTTAGTGAATTCTATCATTTAATAACAACAAATGTCATACTTTTTATCATTATTAATGTATATTAATATTTTATAATATTAATATAAATTTGTATTAAATATTTAACGAAAATAATTTAATTTAAGTAACAATATTTAAAAACAATAGTTTTTTTTTCAATATAAACTTATTTGGTTGATCTCTTCTTATAAACTTAATATAAAATACTTCTTAAAAAATTACAAATTTACTTTGTATTTTGATTACTTTCAAATGCTTCTGTAGACTGATTCGTTCGCAAATAACTGAAAATAAATAAGTAAGCGAATAGCTTATCATAATATTTATGATTTCTTGATGTTAAATTTAATTTGGATATATCAATTACATTTTAGAAATATTTAATTTGCATTTTTAAATATATAAATTTATGTTTCATATAATATTAAAACATATATTTGTTGTTAAAAATTCATATAACATTTAAATTTGAAGCAATAGAATAATAATCTTTGCAACCATACATTTATCGACGAAATAAAATTTGGCGGTGATACCCGACATTCATGTGAGCGGGGCTACCCGAAATCCAATTTTTTTGTAAATTTGTAATTACTCGAACAATTTTTCACATATAAACTTCTTTCTTTGTGCAAATTAAACTTAAGACTACATACTTTAATGCTGTATGTATAGAAAAAATTATTTTTTTAGTATTAAAATGAAGTTTAATCGAAACATTCAACCAATTTTTCTTAATTTCATGACTACTGTATTCAACATATTTTCAAAACTATTGTTTACCATGTTAACAGCTGCATAAATACTTGAAACTTTGAAATAATCTTTTTTCAATATAACAATTAATGTCCGATTGCCCATTGACTTGAAAAAATATTCTATACATATGAAATTGACAGTGGGCGGGGGTACCCGCTGAGCGGGGCTACCCGACTCTCCCCTACTTCTAAATTGTTTCATTGAAAATATTCATCTAAATTAATTTAGGTATTAGTGCAACTCGGGTTGACTTACATCATGTGTTAGCTTTCTTTTTTCATGGTTCCAGAGTCTTTTTCACCCTAATCAAAATAATAAAATAATTTAAAAAATTACACAAAAAATATCTAACTAACTATAATGCTAACAATTGTCATAATCGAATGGCAAATGGCAAAGATTTGCATTTTTTAGTTTCGTAATATAAATATTATATATATATATCAATAATATATGTCAATGATATATATCAATAATATATATCAATATATATTAATAAATATATCATTATATCACAGTAATATGTTACATATATCAATAAGATGTAAAATGCATTTTTTAGTATCAAACCATGCTTAGGTAAACAAATGTCATAATCGAATGGCAAATGGCAGAGATTTGCTCGATTAGTTTTTTAGTATGCAAAAACGCATTACATTTAAATTTAGAATTATTAAAAAGTTAGAATCCTTCAATGTTTTGTTGCTTCTAATGCCACTTGAAAACAGCAACAAGCATGCTTGGTGAAACCAAGAGAGAGCAAGTCTAAGGCAGAGGGAAGTTTCTTATTTTCAGTGGCGCCATCTATGGCCAAGAATACGACTTCAGCCAGACGCACATCATTGCCCGTTTATTCAACGAACCCATTCATACATCCATTCATTCATCCACAGATCGTAATTTTAACCAGAACCAGAGAACGATCAATCTCCAATTCAGTACTGCTAGAAGTATGATTTATTATGCGAGCAGGGAGGACTTTGCGACCCAACAGACTACAGCACACACCAGTCACCATTTACTACTCGGGGTATCGGCCGGTGAGGTCGAACTCATGACCTCTTGGAATGACTGGTGCTGCCATCGATCCGAATGGTTCTGAGTTAAAACGTACTCTCAACCTTGTGGTACTCTCTTGTCAAGCGAAAGGCGCGCCTTCCTGATTTTATTTGCAATAGGCCAATAGCTAGCATGCTTGGCTTGCCCAAGTGTCATTAGGCACAATAACAAATTTTCTCTTAGGGTAAACTACCCCGTCAAAGAATTTGCATTGTTTGAGGATAAGTTGTACAATCGTTGATTCCCTTTATTAATTTTTCTATTAAATTAGTTTGTCGTCTAATTTTGGTTTGCATAAAATACCGTTCAATTTAGTTGCTGAGGTCAATTTTCTCCAGCGCGGTTTTGCCGGTTCCGATCATTGTTATCTAAATTTAATACTATTGAAAAAATAAAAGCTTTATAATGACAAAAGATAAAAACTAACTTTAAAATTCACAAATGTTGTAATTCAGTGGTAAAAGCATACAAGTTTCGATGCAACATTGGAGCATCATCTTCAGTGCACAGCAAGAAATGGCGATTTTTTTTTACCTTTATTATTATCATCATCACATTTTTCTGTATTTAATTATGAACAACACTATTCGCCATATTCAGTATTTTCTGTTCTTTATTGTTATCATTAAATGTTTCTTTATTTTCAGCATCATTTGCCCTTTTTCTGTATTTAATTGTACACAGAAGATGATGTTCCAATGTAACCTCAATCTTGCATGTCTTAATTACTGAAATACATTTTTTAAAATTTTTAAAGTTGGATCTTAACTTTGACTAAATTCAAACTTATACAGGTTAAACCATTTATGACACATTGTCTAAATTGAACCACGTTTTAGATTTCCCTCTCCATCTTATAAAAAAATATTTTTAATTTCTTGAAAAACTATGTTCAAGCTGAAATTGTTGATCTGATATCCTAATGGCATTTAACACGTATTAAATACAATATTGCAAAATAGACTCTCTAACAATAGAATTTTTATCATAGGCATGAGACCCCCGACCCATTAAAACAAAAGTTTTTAGGTTATTTATTTTAGCAACAATACCTTTCTTATTTCGTCCCGAAGGAAAATTGAAAAAAATTTGTCTCGAATGCAAAAAGTTATCTTTTATTGTGTTTTATATGATATAAGATTACCTTATTTTATTTGGTTTACATTGTTTATTTAAAAGAAATGTTACTCCATTTTTCTTCCAGAAGCAAACTTTCTTGTTTTTTACTATAATGCGAGATATATAGGTTATGTAATAATATGTAGGATTATCTAAGAAACAAAACATGTTGGAGTTCAGAAAATTTCTAGCTACGCAATGCAATTTTTCTTTTATGTTCCAGTTAATCTCGTTGAGCAATGATGTCATTTTAACTACGCAAAAGGATTTAAAATAATCCAATTTTGTTTTTAAGACAAAAGTACAGTTTTAAAAAGAAATTGGAAAAACGTGAAGTTTGAAAAATAAATGTTTTTAGTTTGCTGGAGTCTAGATATCAATAGGGAAATGCAATTTTCTATTAATTTTCTAATTCGTGGAATTGTCCAATATAACGGCGTTAATAAAATACCATAAAAAAATAATTCAGACAAGTTTACAAGAACATTGAAATCAGAATTTATAATTTTTCTTCCTAAACAACATAGCAAAATTTAAAAAATTATTGATTTTTAGTCAGTGATATAAAGAAATAACAAAACTCAAATCAAAGAATTGATATTCAAGCAAGGAAGAAACATAAACGCTAACGGAATCAAAGAAATCACTACCAAAGAAAGTGAGACTGAAATAATAAAAACCTGTTCGATTATTGGAGGAAGCATTAACGAGTTTAAGGGTGATTATTAGTAATATTTCCAAATTTTACCATGCAAGGAAACTAATTTTGAGGTCATTCCATCCTCATAATTACTGATTCTACAGCTTGTTTCTGTTCATTGTTCGCTTAAATATAAGTTTGGGATTTTTAATGTGTATCCATATTTATTTACTTTTTTACAAGATTCTGGAAAGCCAGAGTAAGGATAGTCAGTTACGAATATCCAACAATATTACTGTGAAACTGAAAATTAAATAAAAAGTATTGTTCCAAATAACAGAACACTATAAAAAGGAAATAAATAAGAAATATTTTTTACTTGATTAAATGTAAACTTTATTTATTTATTTATTTATTTTCAGAGAGAGAGAAATTGACCTATTTATGAATCGCTGGTTAAGCAATTATCAAACCTTATGTAGAACACGTAAACTTCCTGTCAGATTTTTTTTTAACTCAGTTGACTAGACGTACTCAATTTTTTTATAAAATAGAATATAGAATATTCCAAGTTTTTGAGTGAATTCAAATACTGAAATAGTCACATAATGTCCGTTATTATCATAAAAATTTTTTAAAGCATTGATGATGTTGACATAAAATCCAACTTACTAACAAAAAGAGCAACCGTTTCGCCAGTAAAAAAAATATTTTTATGTCACCGTCTTAAACGATGAACTCTACCCGTGTTAGTGTTTCTAAAATAGTGTTCATTTCTTAAAAAAAAATTAAAGAAGTGTTTTTTTCTAAATTGTTTTATCTGCATAATGAATAAAAACATATATATTTAAGTTTAGAATATTCTATGTGATTTGTGAGCGAAACTTAAATTAGTTAATAATATAAATTAACGTAAATCCTTTTGGAGATGATTGCTGGAAACCGGGTGAAATTTTGTTGATGTATGTGTTTATTTTGATATTCTAACCAGCTTTAAATGTCCCCACATTTTAAATCATTCTTCAATACATGTGATGAAAATAATTAATAATCTAATTTTGATACTTCTCACAAACACTTTGAAACTAATTATAAAAACTTCTTTTAATAGAAAACTTGGTCGAAAAAATACTGCGTTCTCTATGAAGCTAGCCAACAAGGAATTCAGCGTTTGGAGATCTTTGAAAATGACGACGCCTTAGCAAGGCAAAGTCCTTCTAAAATCATTCCTTTAAATGATTGTTGGAAAGTTGCAGCATATCCTCTGAAAAATCAGCCAAATGTATTCGAGGTAAAATTGAGAGTAATTTTTCTTAAAACTCTATGGAAGTTATATTACAGCATAACTTAGTACTTAACGTTATTTGTTCAATGATACTTATGTTATTCTCCAATCGGAGTGAACTTCTTTATAAATAGTTTTCTTTAGGTTATTAGAGCATATATAAAATTTATTTTGCCTATTTCAAATTAAATATTAAGTTATAAAATATAATAAACTTAAATTAAAACCCTAACAAAGAATCGTTTGAATTTAATTTTTTAGTATCTTAAACTTTGATTTTTTTTCAGCTGTATTATTACTTTTCACACATTTGCCAAAATTTTTCCTTCAATTCTTCACAAATATTTTTACCTTTCATTTTCAGAAATTTATGTCTCTGAAACTTATACAAGAAATGCAAATTGTTTTAAATAAACTAGTTTTTCAAGTTAACGATTTTATATGCATCAAAAAAGAGTTTTACTAAACATCAAAAAAGACATGCAACTGACTGCGTTTGGTATTTTACTCAAAACAAAGCGTTCTTTAATTTTTGTGACTTACATTGATTATAAATAATGCAATAAATAATTTCAATTTTGTGAGCATTTGCAAATTAATTTAAAAAATAACAGTTCTTTAAATGGAATTATTTAATGAAACAGTAATATTTAATGATTTGAAGCATATTTGAAAATTATTAAATAGCACCGTTTCATTTCAAGTACTTTGCTTATCATTTATTTTTATCATTCTTTAGAAATTGGGAAAATATTTTTTTAAATATTGTTATAAACCGCATTGAAAAATTGAAGACCGAATGGAAAGTGGAAAAAAATAGAATTTTATCTCAACTTTAAAGCTTAGTTTTAAAATAAATCTTCACGAATAAATTCCTTGAATGTACTCATTCTGGTAAACCCATACAGCGCCATCTATCGCACATCTATGAAAATAGAAATTAAAAGTAATAGAAAGAATCATTTCTCGGAAAATATCAAACGCATTTAAATTTTTAAAAACGATTTTGCTTTTCCATTTAGAATTTATTAAATATGACACGACTTTAAAATAAATTATTTTAAACTATAAAGATTAATAAAGATGTGCAGTATCAGAAACTTAAAAGTAATCGATTTTAGTCCAAAAACTATTTAACAAACATTAAAAATAAAGTTTTATTCTCCATTTTTAATAATAACGAATAGGGAAAATAGCTAAAAAAAATAGCTCAGAGCACATGAATATTGTCCAAAAGTATTAATTTTAATCACTTTTTTATTTAGGGAAAAAATTTTAGTAAATTAAGAAATAGTAATAGTAGTAAATCAGATTCAAGAAAGAAGTTTTACATGTTGGCTTCGAACAGAGGTTTGGTTTGGAACTAATTCATGGGTCAAGCGCTGTTAACGCTACTTCTTTAAAAAAAAAAATACCTAAAATGAAAATTTAGATGTTTTCAAAAAATTTGATGTAATTTGGTACATTTTCGAAAACAGTTTGAAAGTGTATATTTTATTGAAGTCGACCTAACGAACTTACGAAAGGTAATTAAATATTATTATTTTATTTTTTTTCCTAATGACAGAATATTTAAAACTCTGTATATTTTTATAAATCTAATAGAAATTCATGATGCGTCCAGATTTGCTTACATGAAATTTGCAATTTCAATAACTAAATTTTTTTTTAACGATAAGTACATACTTTTCATTAATATGATAAAAGCTTTTGAAAAAGTCTTGATTAGAATTTCTTTAGAATGTATTCACTTGTTATCATACTATGATTTGTCAAAAACACAAAAGGCACTTATAAATAAATATTGAGGTTAAAACTATTCTCAAATTAACCTTAATTTAAGCTAAGCAAACAATTCAGATTTATTGGCAAATAATGCTTAGAGAAATTATTCATTTTATGTTAAAATTTGATGCTTTTGCCGAAAAACGAATAGCACAAAAGTGTTTTTAAAAAAATTTTGCAACTTTTTCTAACGCAACTACACTGTAAAAACTGTGGTGTTATACCTATCTGAATTTGGCTTTGAAGAAATCTAAAAATTGTGTTTTATTTCAAGTTCATAATGAAACGAGCTTTCATACACACTTTAAAGGATGTAGTTAAATCTTAACTGCAATAAACGATAAACCTTACACCAAATTCGCTAAATACATGAATTGTTTTCGCCTATTTTGGCGTGAATTTTTTAATTCTAAGACGATCGATATGTTTTGTTTGCAAGAATGTGAAGCTTGATTTCGCCTCGCACGATGATGAATATTGTAGAGCAACAGAAGTAAGTTGTTATAAAAAGGTATTTATGCTTTTAGTTGTATAACAAATAATATGTTCTCATAGAAAGCACTACATAAATCTGTCAATTCCATAAAATGATTTTAAAATATTTTATTTCTATTTAGCCTTGTTCAAATTCATATTAATATTCTCTCTGTACTGTGTGTATATTTGATAAAAAAAGGAATGGAAGAAAAAAACAAATTATATTTAATAAAATGGTGCATTTATGAAATTTTGAATTCATTAATGATTCTTGCTTTATATTGCATCATAAACTAATTTACACCCTCAATAGCTTTTGATCGAATGGTCGGATCTTCATGTTCTAGGGCTCAATCTTAATGGTTTCAGGAAGTGACCTCAAATAAACTAATTAATTAGTGCAGACGATATTTTAAGTTATGAAAACAGACACAAAACGCACTTTCTATGAATAAACATGCCTTATATTCAACGAATTCAGATTTCTGAATCCCCTGAACATAAGGAGTAGCCGCAATCTGCGAAATATGCATAGTTTGGTCAGAAGAGCGATATATAGTTTGGTCCCCCAAATGTTGATTTAATTTTTAACGTATCTTCAGAAATTTTTAAGTGAATTAAAAAAATTTTGCACATAATTATATAAACTATGCTCAGCCACAGATAATTCTATGCAAAAATAAATATTAGTAAGTAGTTATTATTTATTATTGCGTTATTTTGCACTGGTTGAAAAATATTTTGAATTGTAGGGTATACAATTTTTTACATAATAATAAAAAAAATTTTGCATGGCAAAATACGAAATTTAAGCAAAATCAGTCGAATAGCTCCTGAGAGTTCGAATTTTATAAATAGGACTTTTGTAAAATATGATTTCTTAGAAACTAGTCTGCCAATGTTGCTCAAATTTTGTATTTTGTCATTTAATATTAAATTCTTTAAAATGATATACAAAAACTGTATACCTTATAATTCAAAATTTTTTCGACTTGCATTAAATAAAGTAATAAAAAATTATAAACATTCACTAAAATTTATTTTTTGCATGGAACTATACTCAGATAAACAAATTTTGTTTCCAAATATTTTTTCAATTCGCTTAAGATATGGCGAATCTCTCGAAATGCGCAAAAAGTGAAATTAACATTAAGCGGTACAAATTTTGGTCCTCTCTCGTGATCAAACTCTGGGGACCATGTTTCTCAAATTGAGCCTACCCCCTATATTTTGGGGGGTCAGAAATCCGAATCCATCGAAAAAAAGGTATGTTTATTCAGAGAAAGTTCGTTTTCGTGTTTGATTTCGTAACTTAAAGTATCGTCTGCACTATTAACTTAGCATATTTGAGGTCGCTCCCTCGGTCGTTAGGATTAAGTCCTAGAACACGAAGATTTGATCAATTGATCAAAAGTTATTGAGGGTGATCCGTTTATTTATTTATTTACTTATTTTTGTGCTCTGTATAATAAAAATTTTAACTGTATCTGGATCGCTTTAGTTTTTACTTTACTATGAAAAACAAATTGAAACGTATCATTTCTTTTTTTTTTTTTTTTTTTTTTTTTTTTTTTTTTTTTTTTTTTTTNTAATGTGAAATGACCTTTTTTAACATTAATATGGTGAATTATTACTAAAGAGCCAATTTATACTAAAAGTGAAGAACACTAATTTCCGTTCATTTTATAAAGACATTAAAAGAAAGTATTTTAGTTAATTTGATTTGAAAATTATTTGAAAATGGAAAATTCAGTTCTTTGTAAGCACTTTTTAATTTTTGCAGCAACTTTGAGAAATTGACTGGATAAAAAAAAAGCCTCAAGATTAATTTATTGAAGTTTAAAAACTCTCACTGTTTAATTTGATTAAGGAAGCTTATTGTTTGTTACTGCTTTATACAACCCAATAGTTGAAAAAGTATATTTTCTGTTCTACTTAATAAATGGGATTTTAAATTAATGCACCTTAAAGAGTAGTTAATTTCAGCTTTCACATAATTAATCAATTAAAATAAAATAAAATAAATATTCCTAGAGTTTATAGATTTACCTAATTAACATTAAACTAAAATAGAAATAAATTGTCGATAAAATTAATTGATATCGACTATGATTTTTAACTCACGGAATAAAGTTTTAAATTACTGAGGTAAACTTTAATAAGGCCTACTGCGGGAAGATGTTATAAAAAACCGATTGCTTGGAATCATTATGCAAAAACCAGTAAACTATGAAGAAAATAACTAGATTTACTTATGAGTTCAATTTAAATTCTGCTCGCTTGTTTTTCTTAAATAAAAACATTTATTTTAATAAATTGTATCATAATGATAAAGAGTCCTGTAAAAGAAGTTAATGAAAAAAACTTATTTCCTAATAATGCATGCAAGGAAATGTATCTATTATGTTTTTTTGCAGGGGTTAAATGTTGTTTTGTTCCGCAATTTTACTGGATAAACAGGATAAAAAAATTTATGCAGAAGTTAAGTTGTTTTAATTTAAAAGAAAAAGAATTGAATAATGTATTTACTTTTATCGCCTTTCTTTTTTGATTCAAGGAATATAGTTATAATGTATTAATTACTAAATTACTAAGTTATAATTTATTATTAATTTCTAATTAATTACTTATTAATTACTAAGTTATAATTTAATAATAATTACTCAATTACTAAATTACTAAGTTATAATTTATTATTAATTTCTAATTAATTACTTATTAATTACTAAGTTATAATTTAATAATAATTACTAATTAATTATTTATTAATTACTAATTAATTACTTATTAATTACTAAGGTATAATTTAATAATGATTACTGATTAATTTTTAATTACATAATTAATTAATTAATTAATTAATTATTAATTACTAATTTATAATTCATAATTAATTACAAATTAATTACTTATTAATAACGAAGTTATAATTTAATAATAATTACTTATTAAGTACTAATTTATAATTTATTAATTATTTATTAATAATTAAAATCGTTTACTGTAAATCATTATACAGAAATACAGAACCAATAAACTATGAAGAAAATATCTAGATTCACTTATGTTGTACACCGTTTGTTTGTTTTTCTTAAATAAAAACCCTTATTTTAATGAATTGTATGATAATGATAAAGAGTTCCGTTAAGTAAGTTAATGAACTGTGACGTAAGTTAGTAAACTGTGAAATAAAGAGATGTTAGACTGTGAGTTTTTAATTTTCTGATGATTTTGATTGATTTTCTTTTCGTAATTTGTTTATTATTTTGAATGTATCTTGTTTTTCCTGGACCTCTATACAAAACCATCGGGGTACTGAGGGAGATATTTTAAGCTTTTGCTTCTCCCTCAAATAGAAATGGTTTTGTTTTTAATGGCTACCGAGGCCGGTACCCCCTGAAGACGTCGGCTTCGGTGGTCATATTTTTATTTTATTTCATTTGTTTCTTGTATTAATAAAAAAAACTTATTTCCTAATAATGCATGTTTTGAGGGGGTTTTTTTCTTTTTACTGGGGTCAAATTTTGGTTTTGTTCTGCCCTTTTACAGGACAAAATTTCTTATACAGAAATTAAGTTGTTTTAATTTAAAGAAAAAAGAATTCGACAATATATTTACTTTTATTTCTAATTCAAGGAATAAAAGTTTAAATTACAGAGTTTAACTAAAATGGCTTACTGTAAATCATTATACATAACCAGTAAACTATGGAGAAAGTAACCAGGTTTATTTTTGCATTCAATAAAAGAATTCGTTTGCTTTTGATAAAAAAAAATTTATTTTAATAAATAGTATAATAAGGATAATTAGTTGCGATATGTAAGTTAATGGTAAAAAAAAATTATAATACAAAAATAAAAATAAGTCTGTTACGATTTTTTTTATCTTTTACAAGAACTGAACTTCATTTTTTCTGCATTTTTACAGGAGAAAATTTCTTCTATAGAAGTTGTTTTAAATAACAAAGAATTGGTAATATATTTACTCATTAAAAATAATGAATATCGAATTGCGTAAATAAAAGTAGATCTAATTGGTAACAAGCAAAGTAAAACAAAAGTCCATACGGTATCTTCCCATTAAGAAAAATTTGGGAGGTTTCTCCGATAAAGGTAAAAGGAAAATCTGGATGGTATCTTAACTAAAAGTAAAAGAAAAAATTCTGATAAGTAAAAGAAAATTTATAAAAGTAAAGAAAGAAGTCCGTTCGGTATCTGCACTTAAGGTAAAGGAAAAATACTAACATATTTTGGAATTGAACGATTCAATAAAATATAAAATCTTAAAATATGATTTTATTATTATAGACTATTATAAGAAAAGTATTTGTACTATTATAAGAAAAGTATTTGTTTATACATTATCACTGAATGATTTATAGATGGCGGTTTGGAACCGGATATAATAAATACGAATCATATTTATCGACTGATCGCTTTTGCGAAACTCAAAGAAAAAATAAAAACGATAAACTATTTGATATATTGATGCATCTTGGAAAGTTTAAAAATACATTTGTTTTTTTAAAAACTTATAGAAATTTAAAAATATTGGTTGATTATTGCAAGTAAATTCGTATTCATAAATAAGTAAACTCAGTATTCATAAGGAGATTACTTATTCATAAAAAAAGAAAATTCCGTATTCGTAAATAAGAAAATTCCATAGTCATAAGTCAGAAAATTCATTATTTATAAATAAGAAAATTCATAAATATAATAAATAAGAATAAAATTTCAACTCGATCATAAAAACTGTAACTTTTGTTGTATTTTATTTTTAATAATACAAATTTTAAACATTATTTTATTCTATTCTTATCAATAAAATTAATACATTTCAAGCTTATAAAGTTAAATTAATTAAGTAGCAAACGAAAATATGACCTAAGAGTGTATAATATTTCTCAGGTACGAAGAAAAGAAGAAAGGCATCAATTTTCAACAGACACATTTCAAGAGATGTTAGATTGGCTTTCAGCTCTTCAATCTGTTGCATTTGCTAAAAATTCAACAACTTCTGCCATTACTCCAGCTGTTTGCGAAAAGCAGGAAGAAAATTTTCTCTACAGTACTGTAGCTGAACGTAAGTAAAAATTATACACTGTCTAAATTACCCGAATATGTTTAAATTTACCATGTCCTGGTTTTATGAGAACACTAAAAAGCACGGTAGTTTTTTCGAAGAGCCTTGGTATTGACTTTTGGTAAAATTAACAATAAAATATGGTTTTATAATAATGTATGTAATAAAATGTGGTGAATGTGGTAGAATTAGCTAACTATGTCATGTAATCTTATAACATGGCATAAAAATCATTTATTCAGTTAAATTTACTTTTCACGTTTGTATTTTTAATAAGAGTGTGGTAATAAGAACTATAATTTTAAAGCCAGAATTTTCGGTACAATATTACCATACGAATGAGAAAATTACCAAAATCAATGGTTTAAATAACGTATAATTTCAGTACATTTTGGTTTTATTACCGAAATGATGGGGTTTTTCTTTACCAGATATGTCGTTACCATGCAAGTACATTTAATGCAAGTGCATTTTACCAGAATGTTTCTTTCGTTGTAGATTGATAGTTATAAAAAATTTTATTATATTTGCTAGAATATTTTTATATAATTAGTTTTTTGTTTGATTGACGTTACGTATCTAATTCACATCATTAATCATTATAAATATTCATCTAGAAAAAGTCTGCGAAGTCCCTAAATTTAAGTCATGCACAGAAATGTTTCTAAATGTACCACCAAAGATGTTTTACCAAGGTCTCTTTTGTCATTTAACATTGCTTTTTGTTTTTTCAACACTATTCAGTTACGTAACAATAACCTCGTAAAACTACAGAGCCTGTGTATCAAAATCTGAAAATTCCGTATAATATAACATTTTATTAGACATGCAATAAAAATTGATTCTTAAAAATTTTATTTTAAACATTGTTCATTGCTTGAAACTTTCTCTTTGTAATATCAGTATATAAATAACGCCTCATATCACCGTCATTACCTTCAGAAATTGTGCAAACAAATCAGTCAAAATCCATTAAAAAGTTTTAAAAGTTAAGCTTCATAATATATTTTTGTCTTCTGCTTACATATATATATATATAAACTGCTGTTTGTAGAAAATGCAACACCATGAAAGAATCATCAGAATCAAATGAAATTTAATGCAGAAACGACTTGTACTGATACAAATAAATGATGAAATTTTCAAAACAAAAGAAACAAATTAAGCGTCCGAAATCAGTATTTGGTGCAGCCACCACGCGCTGCAATAAGTGCTGCTATACGACGTGGCATGGAGTCAAACAGATGTTGAATATCTGCTTGAGGAAGAGAATTCCATATCGCTTGTATGCGCAACCAAAGTTCGTCTTTGGAAACTGCAGGACGCGGATCACGAGTGAGACGCCGACCAACCATATCCCACACGTGCTCAATAGGCGACATATCCGGCGAATAAGCAGGCCAAGGAAGAAGTTGCATGCGTTGTGCTGAACAGAAGTCTCTAACAGTCCGCGCAACATGTGGGCG